TGCTTTTTTGAATAGCTGTCAGTCATTTAAAAAAAAACCCACAAGGGCAGTTGTTAGAAAAATGCCATAAATCCTGAATGCAGATAATAGAGAAACCTCCATAAAAATAACTTGCATATTAAGATTGACAGTAAGTGGAATAAAAACGCTCACCCTCTGAGAGGATGCCAGAGTTCATCTTTCAAAAGTTTGGGAAAATTAAAAGTAAAAATGTTGCTGGAAGCAATCAGTTTAACAAGTCTGTTTTCAGATTCTTAAAACTGGAACTAAATAGGATGTAAAAGACTGTAAAGTCACCTAAAATCATTGGTGATTTTATATATATATATGGAAATGTCAGACTTCTATTTACTTTACTCCAGCTTGTCTGTTGAGTCTACATGAAGACTATTGGTATCATACAAACTTAGTTCCTTCTGAGAAAACCGTGAGATAGTGTGCACCATAATAGCAAGTCCCCCTTGTAACAGCCACTTAACATTGTCAAATATTATTCTTTATGCCTTCCTTTTCTTTCTCCTTTTTCATATTTAAAACAAAACAGTCCTCTCCCACTCAATCTGAAGTGATGTGTCAATGAAAGTGTATTAACATTATAGGTTAACAATCACTCAGGCAGGTCCTTGTGAAAACATTGAGGATTGGATCCTGTTATAACAGGTATTTAACACACAGAAAGAGTCAGATCAGGTAATATAACGTTTGAGCACCAAGGACATGGATCAGCTTGTGCAGTTGCTCAAGTATTATGGAGATGACAGCAGCATGAACAGAAAGCCTGAAGATGTTAATAGCTTGGTAGATTTTACTTTTCATATGCTCCTTTCTCTGTAGGCTGGAAAGATGCAGAAGCTCATCTTTCACTGCTGTCCCACTCCTCAAATCTTTATGTTAGCAGAAGTGACAAACCTCACCCACACATTCCTTAATATGGTTCATACCACTGAGCATTTTTTTGCATATCCTCCAAGTTTTCCACATCCCAAAAGGATATGTACCACTAGACTGTGATTTGTGAGATTATTTTATTATTCTTAAATGCTTGAAAAGTTAAACAACAGTCTGGTAATTTCATTGTACGTACAAATGGGGAATGAACTATTTTAGCAAATGAAAGTCTACCCAGGATGTTACAAATATTTTGTGCATTTGCAATTTGTTATCAGAGTGTAACTGGCTGCTTTTGACATTGGTATCCACAGCAGTAGGCCAAAGTACCAGGCAGCACAATCGAGAGCCTTCATCAGTCAGGTTTCAGAATAGCTTTGTGACAATTTACAATGTTTATGATTCTGGCAACTGTCTGTAATGCAAACTCTGTGGTCATCAGAATAAAATAATGCTCTTATACTAATATGATAAATCAAAACTACCATACAGAATTTATTACAAATATTGTGATGACCTTGGTTTAGCGTTATCTTAATGTACTCCACTGCAATAAGGCTCTGTACATTTGCAGTAATATACTGCAATTTTATACAGTTACATAAAAGCTTTATTGAAATAATACTGCACACCATTTTACGCATTTCTTAAAATAGCAGAGGCATAATGTAACCCAAAAATCATAGGCTATTTAATAATGCATGAGATGTTAAAATTATGCCACTTTTGTATTTTAAATTGTCTTTTTTTTCTTCATCTTAGTGTCTCAGATGTTCTCTTCTACACTGTGCTACTTCACCCTTCTTCACTGATCTTAATGCAAAGAAGGATCATTTTTCAACACTATTATGTTGTGTTTTTCCTACCAATCTGTAGTGCATTATAAAAAGCAGTTAAAGAATAAAGGACTTCCTTTTGCCCCTGCTTCCCAATTTTCTTTGCTTCATTTGCAAACATTGAGAAAAAGCTGAGGGACCAATATGTTTATCTTTTTGAATGCCATTTCAGACCTTATAAAATCAAGGGAAAGATTTAGGAATGGTGCTAATCTCATACATAATTTTATTGTCCTTTGGACACCCTTAGATGTCAAAAGCTATGATCACAAAAATTAAGGACTTTATCTGCCAGTCTAGGAATCTGTTTTTCAGTCAGAATAAAGATATTGCTGAAGTCAGTGTTCATGCAGTTTATCAGGAATGAATACCTCTGCCGCTTCAATTCCTGAAGTAGGAAGGTGCTGTCTTAAGTGCACAACACAATTCTGTTATGAGGGGGCCTTAAAGCAGTGCAATCCTGTTGCTAAGCAATATCAAGCAAACAAGATTAAAACAATTCTCTTTATCCTGTTTTCTTCTGTACCACACTTGTTCCTTTTCTGAAATATCCACAGGCATTTGTGACTAAGCCATACAAAGTTTATATCCAGTATGATAATCTATTTTTTTTTAATATGAAAAAGGCACTTTTATGAAATCCTTTCATAGAAGTACCAGTCACTGCAGAATATTTAAAATTATTAGACTGTTATTAAACCATAATAATATGCTTTTAAAAAGCTGTCAGGTTCAGATACCTTAAAAAATAGAGGAAACACTATTGTGTCAGAAGCAGATTTTATTTTCCAAATATCAGAGAATCAGAGAATGGCTGAGGTTGGAAGGGACCTCCAGAGGTCAGCTAGTCCAACCTCTCTGCTTAGTGTCACCTACAGCCAGCTGCCCAGGACTGTGTCCAGACAATTTTTTAGTATCTCCAGGAATGGAGACTCCACAAGCTCCCTGGACAACGTGTACCAGCATACCTTTAGCTAATAATGTAGTACGAAGCAAATTATATCTTCAGAATATATTTTATTGTTCATTGCACTCCTTATCAAAATAATCATAAGGAAAAATCAAGAAATGCAGACACTGGCAACCTGACAATCACTTTAATTTCAAGAGGTGTAGCTATTAATAATTACAGTAGTCAGTCGAATAGAAGTTGCTTACGTAGGTGAAATAACATTAGAACAGTCCAAATGGACAGTGAAGGATATTCTCTGCATTTTGAGCATTTTCAATGCTGGAAATGCTTACTTGTCAGCTGGCTAACTGGTATTCATAACAAAAATTTTCAGACTTGCTGTGCCTTGCAAACAAATGCCAAGTAAGATATATTTTTCAGAAACCGTAATACCACCCAGTAATTGAACTGCATGCTTGTAATTTCAGAATGTTCCATTATTCCATCATTTTATGTTTGTAAAACAGTTCAAATTATAATATTTCATATGCTATTAGAAGATTTAAAGAATATTCATAAATATATACCTAACTCTTGAAAGATTGCACAGATCACAGATGACTCTAATGACTGCAAAGAATTAAAAGAAATTCTTTAGATGAGACAAATGCTGCTGAATAAAGATGCAGGATCAAAAGAACTGGACAATGCCCAGGAGAGTATACGGCACATAGACTTACAAAGGGAGAAAGTCTTTAAGGTCAGGAAAATATAGTCTATTTATTCTCCCTTTTTAATTACAAATATAAATTTAAACACTTTTAATGGTGTGTTTCCTTTTAAAAGCATTTTCAGTTTAGCTCAGCTACAGGCTATAAAAGGCACTAGATGGCAGCAAAAAGTAAGCAAACAAATCCATAACGTTAAGGTGCACAGTGTGATGTGGTACAGACAGCCTGCATGATTTCAGCAGGGAATGAAGGTGAAAGGAAAGAAATTCCTTCCTTCTTTTGTTTAGGTGCTTTCCATTAAGTAGTACAGTGCCTCAGCCAGTTGTCCATTGCGCTATTTATTGATGTATGGTAAAGCACAATGGCCTTTAAAGGAGAATGAAATGCAGAGTCACTTCATGGTTCAGTGCAAAGAAAGCAAGTAACAAACCCAACAGTGATCATAGGTGCACAAAAGACTATGCCATCTCAACACTTTAGGTCAAAACAATATTCCGTCCTTATACATAGGAAAATACTGAGAACATATGCCAAGAAAGGGCTCTATTTTTCAAATTAGTTGTACTGCTGCCTCCTCTTCAATATATTTGTGTTTCTATAATTAGGATTGGAAAATGCAGTCATGCAGAAGATTCTCAGATTATTTATGGATTGACCAGTATAATCTGATTAAAAGTGGATCTCTTCCCTTAAAAAAACCCACCAAAACCCCCAAAACTACATAAAACTGTACTACTTAAATCTTATCTAAAATGGTTGCCAGAATATTAGGTACAATACAGAGGGAGAGCTCTAATGACATTATACTCTGAAAAACATTTGGAAGCTGTTGTATAGTACTTTTAAAGCTAATTACATACATCTAACTCTTTGCTTGTCCATGCAAGAGACACAAAAAGTTACGAGTAACTAAGAAAAGATTAAAATAATTCTTGCTATCTCACAAGAAGGAATCTCTAACAAATGTTGCTCTATTAAAGGAAGTGGGGAACCTGCAAATAGAGTAAAGGATAAGAGGGAAGCAATACAAATGCAAACATGTAAAGCAAAGAACTTGCTACTTATAAAGCTTTTTGTATTTTCTCTCTTCATGTCTTCCCTTCTATGGTGGTACTACAGACAATGAACCATCTTCAGTAGCTCATAGTTTATATTCCAACATGATCTCCTATATACCCTTCTCCCACAGGAATTGCTTTCTTTAGGAGTGGAGGAATAGGGAAAACGAAAATAAAACAGAAGGCTCTGTATAAAGATATGAGAATGATTTATTGAATTTAAGTTGTTAAAGTATATACTGTAGCAGGCATTAAATAATCTATTGAATAATTCAGGATCAGACATGATAGAGCTTTGTTTCAAATTTGTATTATTTGACAAATTCATTATGTGTAAAAACACAACTATGTCAAAATGGTCTCTCTTGATCATCATATAAAATCTCAATCTATAGAATGTAAATTAAAACTACAGAGATTGATGATTATTGTGTCAAAAAGTAACAACACTTTAAGAAAGAAATTTCAATCCAAGTGTATGTGTAAATTGATAACTGATCTGAAACATAATCTTTAATTTTAAGAACATCAATTTGAAACTCCCATTGGGCTAATGAAGGTAGCCTTTCATATCCAAAGAGGAATTTAACCTGTATTTATTTTATTGCAGTCAAAAGCATTTTTTTGCCAAAATATTCCCACCTATAATACTGTGGTTATCCATTTTTGTTCTCAGAAAGGCTGATAAAACTTTCCTGTGATATGGTAAATGTCCTAATCTGAACAAAATCCGATTGCTTTTGTGTCATGGGTTGAGGTGTCTGGGTTTTTCCAGGGGGAGGGCTACATATGGTGGCTTCAGTTAGAAGCTGCTAGAAGTCTCCTCACCCAATGAAACCAATGACAGCTGGCTACAGGAGTGACATCCTGCTCCTGGCCAAGGAAGCCTCTGTGATAACTTATTTAAGAACAAGCTGTTGCGCAGAAGAATTTCTCCAGCCAGAGTAGAGCTGAACGAAGCCCCCGGGCGGCCCCGCTGCCTCCCTGCCCCAGGGCAGAGGGGGAAGGCAGCGACAGCCCGGCCCGGACCTCTTGGCACCTAGCCTGGAGCAGGCACTGGTGGCCCCTGCGAAGGGGTGACCAGAGCCAGGGCTGGGGCCGGGGCTGGGGTGTTTTGCCCCAAGGAGAGTGGCCCTGCAGCCCCTGGGCCCACCCCGTGAGCAGCCCATGCTGGAGCCTGTCCTGTCAGAGGAGCTGAACAGCACTGACAGCGCCAAAGACCCCAAGGTGAACTGCAAGGGGTGAGGGGAAGTGCCCCGTGGGCTAGGCCAGGGTGGCAGAGTGGCCCCTGCTGGCGGGCACTGCCCTCCCCTCCACTCCCCAGCCGAGTCGAGACAGGCAGGGGCTGGGGCAGCCCTCTGCAGTGTAGCCAAGCCCATGCCGGAGCAGATGGATGCATGGAAGAAGGCCATTACCCCCCGTGGAAGGCCCAGGATGGAGCGGAGTCCTTCAGGAGACTTGTAGCCCACGGAGAGGAAAATCCATGCCAGAGCAGGATATTCCCAGGTAGGACTCATGGCCCTGTGAGGGATCTACATCGGTACAGCTCACCCTATGAAGGACTGCATCCTGTGAAGGATGGAGAAATGACTCTTGGGACAGTAGACATGGAAGAACTACTGCCTGAGGGGTGGACCCACGTTGGAGAGGTCCGTCAAGGACTGTTACTTGTGGGAGGGACCTCGTGGAGCAGGGGAAGGACTCAAGAGTTATGTCCCTCCCTGTAACCCATGGTGAGGACCATGGTGAAACAGGCTGTCCCCCTGTAGCCCATGGAAGAGTGACCTATGGGACAGAAGATTTGGAAGACCTGTTGCCCGAGGGGGTGGACTTGTCTCCTTGCCCCACTGCAGGAGGGAGAACATGGAAGGAAGGAGGGGTGGGTGGGAAATGTGTTTAAGACTGTTTTATTTCTCACTCTTTAGATCTTATCCTGTTAGTAATAAATTTTAGTATTAATGCCCCGTTGACTTTGTTCTGCCTGTGTTACCTCTCCCAGCTCAGAGTGACTTTAGTAGGTGCCTAGAATCTGGCCAAGGTCAACTCACAACATTCCTGTTTCCATGCATGTGGATATAGACCCATGTTTTCTGTTCCTACTCTGAAGTTTGAATACCTCATGCCATGTACAGAGTTTGCCCTTCTCTATTGCCCTTTCCCTCTGTTTTCCCAGCAAGAGTTTCTTGATAATGTAATTTTTACTGAATTCACCTAGTTGAAAGGATATTTCTACTGAAATAAGTACGCATACAAACACACATTCATATTATTGCTAAATGGCTTTTAATTAAGGTTAATTTTCATGAATTTTGTGCAGTACAAACTAGCATTATTTATTTTTTCATTCTGGAAATCTAGTTTTTCAGTGAAGGCTGAAACATGAAATTTTTTACAGGGAGATCCATGTGAAGTTCTCCTGTTTTGAAATGGTTGTTATGTCTATTTGGATGAAGATTACCTTTTCTACCAAAGGTTGCCATGAATTCAGGATCACTAAACACAGCAGATGATGGTAAAGAAATTATTTGTGGACTTTTGCAAAAAAAAATTTTCTACAGATGCTGCTAAAATGAAGAGAATCACATCCAGTCAGAAAAAAAAAAAAACAAAACACCAACCTTTACTATCACCTCTGAAGGGAAATAACTCTTCAAATATAGTCAAGAGAGAAAAGATTTCAGCAAGTTTTATCTATTTAAGAGTTTTTGCCATAGTTGGAAAAAGTGTTCTGATACAAAATATGTCACCTCTTGAAGGACCCATTTTAAAATTACTTTAATTAGTCAATATACTTTAACAAAAAAAAAGAAATAAATCTACTTTTAAAAAATCAAGGTAGGGATATAACGTTGGTCATACATTGTATTCTGACTGTATTCTGTATAATAAAGCCATTAAATGCCTTACTAATGTGTGAATGGTATAAGCTATGGAACACCAAACCACAGTTTCTGAAGTTAATAAATCAAATTGAAAAACATCCTTAAAGGATCCATTTCTGTACCTCTGAAGGACAAGTTTCTTTAGGAAGAGAAACAATAGTAGCTTAATGAGAACTGAACATTTTATTAGGAAATGATAATTTATTTGGGTGTGCAAGCAGAACTTCAGAAATTCATCTTCTATTCCAACTACTCCTGTGTAAATATGGCATATGAATTTTTGGATTTAGCAAATTTCTAAAAGTTTAGTGACTGAAGGAAAGTAAGACTCATGTCTAAGGTCTCATCTGAAAGAGAATTGTTGTGTTCCTTAACATCAGACTAAGATATTTAACCAGAAGTGATTTGAGTGGATGAGTCACAGAATCATGGAATCACAGAATATGCTGAGCTGGAAGAGACTCACAAGGATCACTGAGTCCACCCCTTAGCCCTGCACAGGACCATCCCCAAGAGTCACAACACGTGCCCGAGAGTATAATCCAAACACTTCTTGAATTCTATCAGGCTTGGTGCTGTGACCACTTCCCTGGGGAGCCTGTTCCATTGTCAAACCACCCTTTGGGTGAAAAACCTTACCCTAATATCCAATCTAAACCTCTTCTGACACAACTTCAGGCCATTCCCTCAGGTTCTGTCACTGGTCACCACAGAGAAGAGATCAGTGCCTGCCTCTCCACTTTCCCTCACAGGGAAGTTGTAGACTGCAATGAGGTCTCCCCTCAGTCTCCTCCAGGATGAACAGACCAAGTGACCTCAGCCACTCCTCATACGGCTTCCCCTCAAGGCCTTTCATCATCTTCGTTGCCCTCCTTTGGACACTCTCTAACAGCTTAATATCTTTCTTATATTGCAGCGCCCAAAACTGCACACAATATTCAAGGTGAGGTCACACCAGTGCAGAGCACAGCAGGACAATGCCCTCCCTCGACTGGCTGGTGATGCTGTTCCTTGCTGAGTCAACAACAGTGATTCTTTGCCACGTGGGTCTTCTGCAGAGGTTTCATATTTGAGGACTGAACCAGCATCACATAGCTCAAGAATTTTAACAGTTTCACTGCAAAATACAATATACCTGCAGAATACCCGCACCTCTCATACTATCCTACAACTTTTCTTTCTGAAAAGCAATTATTTATCTGTTCCTCTGCTTCCCCTTTCAGGACATGTAGAGCTTGTGGAGATCCTTTATTGATATAGTACCACAAACCACAAGGTCTGCTCAGGCAAGCACATTTATATATGCAGCTTAAAAATGTTATGTCAAATTTTTGCCCATATTTCAGAGGCTTCCTTGGAAGGGAAGTATATAAACCTGAATTGAAGAAAATTTATCTTTCTAATATAAAAAATAAATTGAAAGGATGTTGTTAGGAATGATTTTATAATCATCCTTGAGGCAGAAACCATTTAGAGCAAAACTAATAGCATGTAGGTTTCATACAAACTCTAGAAAACCTTAAAAACATTTATGATTGTTGTAGCATAAGTCCAATTTATATTGAGCTAAAGCATGACTTGGAATTACCAAGTGAGCACATAACTTGAGCAGGTCAGAACAGGATCAGTGTCATACCTTTGGGTATGTCAGATGTAATGTGTACTAATGTATTATTTAAAAGATTTTAATGAAAACTGAATCAGATGAAGTGAACTGTTTCTAATCTGATTTTCACTGTATCAGGCTAAGCTGTACTCTGTGATAATAAAGTCCAAGAAATCTAAAGAAAAATAAATAAGCAATGATCAGTGGAATGTAAAAACTTCAGTCTCCAGGGCCAAGACTCAACTTTCCATTATTTGAGTCCCATCTTGTCAAAAGACTTATACTTTCAAGACAAATTAGCCATTGATAAAAAAATACCACTTTTCTCCACTGAGAACTGTCAAAAATTACAACCCTTAGTTAGAATTTCTCAAGTGATATACACATTATTAGTTTCTTCTCACCATTGAATACTCCCTCAAAACTGGCACTTCTCATCTGTAATTAACAAGCAGAATGCAAGGTAAAGTGCCACAAGTCTCAGTGGTGCAAGTAACGAAGTGAAATTTTGTCCACAGCCTCCAAGTCCTTTGAGAGGAATAAAAAAGCTCTACTATATAACCCTCTCCAGACCATCTCAGACCTTAATCCTACTTCTCCCCTACAACACAGTCCTCTGGGGCTCTGGAAGATCATGAATTAATAACAGTGATTTATTTTTGTAGTAGCCAGTTGATTCAGAAAACTGCATCAATCAAAATCTTTTTTTTTTCTTATGGTCTATTAGTGGTTCCACAGACATTTCAAACAAGCTGCTATGAAATAAAAATAGCTTCAAGAATGCAATTACAGCATGCAGGGACTAATAAACATCTACATAATAAAAAAATTTATGTTTGCAAGCTTGGGTTAATATTTCTTCAATTTCAGCCAAAATATAGATTTTGACTTTACTTGACCTAGTGACTTCACAGTATGAGCAACTCAGAAAGATTTTGCTTGAACTGATTGCTGACCTTGACCTTTCTTGCTAATGTAGTAAAGACGAGGTAAGAGTGAATACCATAGGTACTTCCCACTCTTAATACTTTGTCTAGTCTTAGGAACTGTATTCAGACTGTTCCTAAATTATGAAGGAAACAAAATCTTCTCGCAGTTTCTCAAGGGTTTCAGTCTATATTTTACACTAATTAATCATAATTTGTCTCCAAACTTTGCTTCTTATCTATTATGTTGGCTTGTCATATTTCAGCATCTTCTCCCATCAGCCTCAGAGAGGCTGATTCAGACCTTCATGTTTTAGCACTATGGTCTTTTAAATGCTGCAGCTTGTAATATTCTGTTCCAATTATTTTTATGCAAATGCATATGACAACAACCACGTCTATCTTACTGCTCACTAATTAGATTCTAAGTTTTTAAAGGCATTTTCAACCTTTTTAACTTTACACCATTCTTGAAAAAATATTATTTCTGTAACATTGCTCTTCTTCGAGCATTGCAGCCTGGTCTTTCTAATAGTTTCCAGGTAATTCCTCCTTGACACATTTCTGCTATATGATATGTCTTTCCCTCTGGGCTTCTTTAAGGAAAAAATATTCTCCACAAGAAGCTCAGGAAGACATTTACTGCGTAGCTACAACTGCCAAAAAATTACTATTCTTATCATATTGTTGCTTCTATGGAAAGGGTATGGCACTTTTTTTGTATAAACTCAGACATGCCAGTTAAAACTTGAATGTCCAACTTCATTTTTATTTTATTATTTTTTTTTATTTTATTCTTCTTGGGTCCTAAGCTAAAGTTTGACCTTGTTCTACATATTTATAGATGCATACCAAAGGCAGTACCATGAATTCTTGATGACTATGTTAAAAAAAAAATCATTAACATTTCACAACAATGGCAGCAATTATTTAACCTTATATCTATCGTATCCATAGCTTCAAGAATACTTTATGAGATTTAAGAATAGTATTTGGTACATAAAAGTCAAGGAGGTGACCAAGGCAGCCAGCACAGCTTTACTAAGGGCAAATAACGCCTGACCAGTTGGGTGGCTTTATATGACAGGGTGACGGCAATGGTCGACAAGGTAGAACTGACAGATATCATCTATCTAGACTTCTGTAAGGCCTTTGATACAGTCCTTATCTCTAAATTAGAGACACATGGAGATGATGGACAGTGGATAAGGTGGCTGGACAGGTGCAGACAGTGTTGTGGTCAATTGCTCTACATCTTGGTGGAGAGCAGTGAAGAGTTGTGTCCTTGAAGGTTCTGTCTTGGGACCAATGCCCTTCCAACCTTAACCATTGGATGATCCTGTGATTTCCAAACTATAAATTTTCATTTGCATGCAGAATTTCAAGTTAAGAGTCCAGCTTCAGAAAACTGATTTCTGAAATATGCCAACATATTTGTGTGCCTTGGAGAGGTACTACATGTGTACTTGGACCAAAACTATCTGAAAACAAGTCAGACATCCTGTGTGACAATTAGCTTGGGTTTTGATAGAGAAAGGGAACAAACCACTGAAGAAATGTCAGTATGTACTAGTGAAAATAAACAAAACAATAATTACTCCAAATTTTATTGTTGTCATAAACTTAATCTATTCCATTAAGATACAAATATTAAATATCAGTCAGCAATGTAGCAATAAATTCTTCCAACTATATGGAAATGACAAGTTATTTCACCATTATCAACTGTGAAAACTTAAGTGCAAAACAAAAAATCCATGAAGGTAAAATTAGGTTTTACTCAACAAAACCGTAAGGTTTAGCAATGAAGACAGAGCAATGACTCTGCGATATGTTAAGAAATGTAATTGAGAGCACTTTGTCGGGCCACAAATTTACCCAACTTTCAGCACTATTAACTCAGCATGACCACTTAGCACTTTTAAGGAGAAGAACAGACATTTGTCAGAACGTTTTAAAATATACAAAGATGACAAAAGAAAGGACTTCAGAAAAAATTAAGAAAAAATTATTCTCTTCAGTTATACACTGAAATCCAAAGCTCTCCTACAGTTATGAGATGGAACACTTGCTAGTTTTAATTTATGAACCAGAAGAGTAAGAGTCAGTAACTATCAAACACAACACTATTAGTGTGGTTCTGACACTCATTCTTCAGCACAAAATGAGAAACTTTCTTCAGAACATACTTTGAAAT